AACGATTTAATTGTTAACTGCATACACACGCACGTGCACCAAACTGTACATTGTTTTCATAAAACTCGTGCGTTCTTGTTTTAAAGGGTAGATGTTATATTTAAAACAAAACTGAAACCTCGGATTGGTTGGCTAACTTGCGTACATATTTTCAACTAATAAAATATTTATCCTTTAAGAATAAATACTTCCAATAACTTTTTGCTTTTTTAAAGACATGTTTGATATTTGAAGGAGCATCTTAATCATTTGACGTCCCAAAAGTCGAAAAGAATGAAAATGGACCAAATGCATCTTCAGTTTTTTTAAGTGCCTCTGTTTAATAAATTAGTCGGTTTACACCTGTAAAGCTATCAGATATTAACTAGGTTCGTTTTTTACTTTCACTGTTTTACTTCATAAAATGTCCCTTGGCGGTAGGACAGCGGTAAGTCTACACAGGCTTACAACGCTAAAATACTGGGTTCGATTTCCTGCGGTGGATAAGCAAATAGTTCAACGTGGCTTTGCTCTAAAAAACAAAAACAAAAAAAAAACCTTTTCACAACAACTGAGACTTTATTTGCCCTCCAGTGGCACAGTGGTAAGCCTGTGGACTTGCAACGCTAAAAACGGGGTTTCGATACTCGTGGTGGACGCAGCACAGATAACCCATTGTATAGCTTTGTGCTTAACTACAAACAAACAAACTTCATAAAAATAGTGAATAAATATTTCTGTATGCAAAACCATCAGCATAAACTGAGTTCTTTTTTTTTTTGTCTTTCACTGTTTTATTTCATTAAAATACATAATATGTATATATATGTATGTGTGTATGTGATTGATAATTTTAATTTCTATGTCCCAATTCTATTTTTAACTAGAAGATTTGTCTTGTGGTTACTGTAGTGGATTTATAGTGATAGTCATCGACTGTAGTGATAAACATTTTACGATTTTTCTCAGCGTTATTATTATCATTATTTTTCTAAGCGAAGCGTGTACTATATTAGTATCTTTTCCCGAAAGCTACATGTGTTTATATTATCATTCTTTCACCAGTATCTGACGGAGAAGAGTATATTAAAAAGAAAGAAAAAAAGATTAATATGTTGCTCGCTCCTCATGGTTAGATCGAATTGGGGGAATTTCACATTTTATCATTAACCTTATGGTATTTGAGCTTTCTTAATGCATCTGCTAAACATTTTCTTAAGGATTCAATGCATATGATACGTTAAATTTTATATTTGACCCTCAAAACTTTGCTGATTATTCTTTCTTAACATATCTATATGGTTAGATCGATTTGAATGAATTTCATATTGCATCATTAAATCTGTGTTGACTAATCTTAACATTTATGTGGTTGTAACAGATGGAGAGAGTTTCACAGTGTGTCCCCCGTGTTTCTTAAGCTTTTTTTTTCTAATATATTTATATGGTTAGGCCTATGTTTGGTAAGCTTCCTTCTTTTATACATTTTCGCAAGGCTTCTGCGGATACTAAACAAGACAATTAATATTTCTTATTTACAGAATAACGCTGCAAACCGAAACTTCCTCAGCGATGGGAAATTACGTGGAATCTCAGTTTATTTACTACGTGTTTAGTTTAACATCAGTGCTATATACACGATGTTCTGACTTAGAATAGCATGCTTCTAATTGCATCTCTGACCTGCGATACTTCAGTAAATTATTATTTGACAAGGGCAATGAGTAAAAGTGGTCGTGACTACCAGCATTTAGTTATGTGATATTTTTCTGTCCTTAGCTAGTTAAGCTTTGTCGAATGAAGAATCATGTTGGCTTGAAACATTCGCGAAGCAAGTGACGTAGTTTCAGTTTATTTTCTTTTGCATTAATTTATAGTCATGCTGAAGTAGTTTAGCCATCTTATGGATGCTGTAATTTTTGTTTAATGATAATATTTGCTCTTCCACGGAAAACTCGACAAATTTTTGTGTATAATAAGCCGAATCTTAGTTGGATTTTGAAACAGTGAGCCCTTAAAAAAGCCTGATTAATCCAAAATAACTTTGTTGAAGGTATTGTTTGTTACCATGGGGACGTCTCATCATCGTCTGACTAGCCAAAATTAAGTTTATCCAAGGTACTGTTACCATGGTGACGAATGATCTTCAAAAAAGATAACGAAGCTTTTGATAACGTTAAAAGGGTTCACGAATAATCATTTTGCAAAATGCGGATACAACTATGGAGAAATTACATAGAGATTGAGAGTTCTCCAAGAAATAGTCTTGTTTGAGAACATCAGATGAAGCAGGTACTATTTGCCTTTGGATACAGTGCTCGAAGTAGACAGTGCAAATAAACCGTTTATTTCTCTAAGCCTGACCTATCAAAGTTTTTGTCCAATATACCAAAACTTTTGCGACTGTAATAATCAAAACAGAAGAAAGGATCAGTTTATTGAATGTAGTGGAATAATGAATAATAAGCATGATAAATATATCTCCAAGCAATACAAAGGTTTATTAGATTTATTAATTAAATTCTAAGTTATTTGATTGAAGTTTATCAATGGGAACATTTATTGTAATAGTGCGTCACCTGCGATCATGAAATGAAATTTTAATTAAATACTACATAAAGCCTTGGTGTTGTGATAGTGAAGCTTCAAGATTGTTCTATTGCCGACTTTTTATGTTATAGGTACTGGGATTTTGTTCAGAATGATTTAAATCTTCGGATAGTCAGTTATATCTTATGTTTAAGAATTACACCCGTGAAGAAATTTAAACCATTAGTACCATTATTTTCAGTCTTCGGTGCAGAGTTGCACCAGGGTCTTAGAGAGGCTTGACGTACGTTCATGTAGATGTACAGTAGGAATACACTAAGTAACGAACAAACCACGGATGATAACTTAGTCGGTAAAGTAAATTAAAGAGGACTCTTGGGTTCTTCTCATGTAGGGATTGAAGCTGTCAGCCTGGACCTGACCCTACTTGGGGCTGTTCTGGTATTTTGTCCTCGCCCCAGGGTCACATTCCATCCCGTGTCTTAGCGAGCGGTCCCAGGGTCTTTGTAGGGCGCCCTCGGGAACGTTGTATGCAGATGTACGAGTAGGGGCCGTAGGGGATGGGGGAGGACATCAGCTTGAGAGAGAAAGCGAAAGTATCTGAGCTCAGTGTACAAGAAACACGGTCGATACTCATTATCAAAGCGTGGGGGTGGGTCTAGAGAACCGAATAGTTTGAAAGGGACTCCCAAATAGAAATTAATCGAAAAACTTCTGTTTTCATATAAATTAATAAAATAAACACAACAAATGTTACCCAGTTTTAGATTGTTCTTGTATAACTTTGAATATCACTCATTATTTTGGAACTTATTCGCTGAAATCTGTATTCGACAAAATGAGGCATAAGCAAATTATTAATCGTGTATTTGTTTATTAATTTCCTAAAACCTGTATGACACTGATCATCTGGGCTTGTTGCTGTATTGTGACATTCCGTTTTAAAATAATGCAATGTGAGGGAACTATGGCAAAGTTTCGTGTTTTTCTAAGTGCTCTGTAACATGCGTGCATCTATAAGATTAGGACTTGCGCTTATATTTGTGGCAGTTCCGGCTTTGTTCTAAAACCCGTGTTTACTTTACTTCACTTACGTGTTTGGGAAATTACAGCCACACTTTTATTTTCCCATTTATGTTTGAAAATCACGAGTCGATGTTATTCATCATTCGGAGACATGTTATGCATTCCAATAGTACCTAATAAAGTACTATTGTTTTCAAAAGTGAATGGATTTTAATTGGATTTTTTTTTCTGAATTCTTACAGTTTGGAGTACACAAATGTGCGAGTGTAACAGAATATGCAACATCACAGTCAGAATTAACCAGCGTTTGAGAAGTTTTTTTGTTTATTTGTTTTCATTAGATCATGATTTGAACTCCTTTGTCTTAATATTTGATTTGGTTCTTTCACTGCGAACATATGTCCAGTATTTCTCGATAATTAGAGGCGGAGGGTTGGCCTGTGGAAGAGCTCTGGATTTCTGAGCTGGTGAGCAGGGTTTCAGTAAGTGCGATACCATAAAATATTCCTCACATTTAAGAAGTGTGTCCGTTATAAGAGTGACAATCAATCCGTTAGTGTCAATGGGGGATGGGTGGTAGGGTAATACTTACCGGCAGCAGATACTCTTAGTAGCTTTACGATAAATACAAATTCTAGATAATTAAGTATAGATACTTTTAACAGCCACAAGAAAAAAAAAGCTTAGTGAGAAGATCAAATTTCGTTTGTACTTGAATTCTATTTAACAGTTAAACTGTTACAACTGTGGACTGCGATTCCTGTTGTTGTAGATTTGGACTTGGTGGAAGTGTTTTATATCAGTGAATCTTACAGTAATTCTTATATGTTTATGACGTGTATGCAGATAATCCTACTTCTAGTAATGGAAAATTATCAATAATATATTTATATTAATTTAAAATTGTGAGAGCTATTGTTGAGTTAACTTGCGAAAACATAGCTATAAAAGGCATCGGTACAACTTCGCGGCAAACCTATTGCGTTAATATGTTTTGTAATGCTGTTTTTAAGTATGATGAATAAGTGTAAAATTATATAACAAGTATATTTTATCATACATTATAGGCATACAAAATAGCGTGAATTTATTTTGTCAGTAGCAAAGATGTGTTGATAATTTAGAAGCGCAGATACTCCTCAAGTAGTTTTGCATGAAATTCAACAAGTAAAGAAACAAACGGACAATTTCAAATTTAACAGTTTTATCTTTATTATAGAGATTTGAATCATGCATACGTCAAAGTCATAATCTCAACATAAAATATCTTCAAGTAACGTATGATTAATACTAAAACTCCTATGATATATATTGTTTCACATACACAAAGAGTACTTGTTGTTGGAAACGTTAACACAAGTGCTTGAAAAAAATCAATAAATCGATGTAAAGAAACCTTAAAACAAATAAATCTGAAAAAATTGGTAAACCTTTTCTTGTTGTTGTTTTGTTGTTTTTTTTCCCCCAGCTTTACCGTAAGCATAAAGTTTTTATTATATCACCTGAAACAACAGCATTTCAGTTACTGGTAATTTTCATAGCATAACACCACCAGGGCACCAAGAACTTGAACTGCCTATGTAAGTAGGATCTGCATTATCTTCCTGGAAATAGTATCATGAAATTATTAGTGTTTTTATGATGAAACTCTGACTACAGGTCACAAGTAGTAGGAATTACATAATTATTATAATCTCACAACTCTAAATTCATTATCAATATTGTCACAACAAAGTACATTTGCACATCTATTTTTACATAAAGGCTCGTGTTGAACAAACAAAAGTACACGAGAGTCTGTTATGCATATGTTTGCTTTATTAATGAAATAGTGCAATCACTAACATTATTATAATATATAAAAACAAAAATGTAGGCTGATGAGCACTGAATAGGCGAAACTGCAGTCCACAGCCAAGGGTACAGCCATTCAAAGAAACCATTAGGCCGCTACGTCACAGATTTTCTTTTCAAGTTTACTCTTTGTGAGAAAGAAATCTGCAGCACACACACACACACATTATATATATACATATATATATATATATAATTATTAAATAGTTGGTCCAATATATAATGTGGAATAATGATTTAAGCACAGGTCATAGTATTCTTGACATACCCAAATTATTTTAGGTTACTTTATTGGTGACTGAAAAGGAGTTAAAACTCAAAAACATAATTTTGTTTTCTAACTGTATAGCTTTAAAACTGTAGAGAAAAACACACTATTAGTTAGCTTGTTGATATGGAAATGTATTTGTTCCTATATATCCGATGTCTCTGACATCTTGATTGACGGGAACGTTCATAAAAACAATTTTTCTTTGTAATTACTGTTGATTTAACAAAAGTACATCTGGAAGTTAAAAACGGCGCTATAAACAGTCGCTTACACCTTTACACACCATGTGATTGCATTTAATTCTGGCCCTACATCGTCGCATTGCATTGTCGAATAATATAAATACTTATGCATTTTTTTTTATAATTAAAATTAGTTTTTCCCAAATAGGTTCAACCACAAATCGTTGTGAGTGTGCTGTATTTTGTAAATTATTTAAGTTGCGTTTTACGTTTCACATGAGTTGAAAACTGCAAAAAGTTAGCGTGCTTATGTTTTATGTTTGCTGTTTGGGCCGATACAGGCTATGCGAATTAGGCTACGAAATTTTATTGTATTTCACTAAGTAATTTAGACATTTTTATCCAGTGTGAACTTTATGCCTACCTCACACTCTACATCCACTACAGAAATATGGTGAGGTGATAAGTATAAGTGTAACAACTATATTCGGAAAATTTGCTTTCATTATATTCACTTTTGCTGCATTTTATTTTTAGGTTTAACACTATTGTAGATGAGATACTTCTAAAATTAACTTGGTTTTTTAACCGACTTCTTCCATAATTGCAAGCCTTTGTTCACATTAATAACCACAGTAGCCTTAACCATACCATTACAACTTACTTGTAGCCATGTTTTAATAGTATTTTTATTGTTGTTCTTTACATAATTTTTCTGTTGAATGCCAAAGTTTTGTTTTTATCAAGCTTAATAAATTTGTATTCAGTTTTGAACATACTTGCAGTACATTTTGGAACCCATGGCCTTAGCTATCTTTAGTTTTCCATAAGTCTAGGTCATTTTAAAATAAAAATTCAAAGTTGTGGTTTGAACATTTAACACACTTTTAAGTACTAATCCAAACTATGTCATACATAGGATTTGTTTTTTAAAAGTGGATTTCAGTTTGATGTTTCTCCAAATTGTAGGCTAGTATGAACTTTATATGCTGTTTAGTTAAATGCAAGGATTCTGCTAGTATTAACTTGATATTATGTTAAATCAAATATATGGATAGTATGAACTTTGTGTGATTTTTATTCCAATAAAGAGCTAGTATTAAATCTGTGAAATGTTTATTCAGATAAGGCTAGTATTAAACTTGTGAAATATTTATTCAGATAAGGTTACTATAATTGTATAATGTTTATTAAGACAAGGCTAGTATGAACTTTGTATGATGTTAATTCAAACATAAACCTGAATGAAATTTATATTTATTTAGATATATGGCTGCTTTGAAATCTAGTCAAATATAAGTCAATTTTTTGTGCAAGTTTTCATATAAAAAAGCCTAGGACAGATAAAGATGTTTATTTTGGTATTAAGCTAATATTGAACATTCACTGGATATTAAAGTTAAATCAAAAGTTTAATGCTATTATGGAAAACAACTATTTCAATATTACATATTACATGTTTTGAAGACAGTATACTAAAGTTAAATCAAAACTCCACATGGAAACAACAATAACAAATACATTGATTTATATTCTAAAAAACAGTGACAAGTTGAGATTCAGAATATCTGATTCTACTTATCCTGCCTTACTTTACAAACAAAGTGACTATTGATCTCTAAACAGCTGTTTGTTTTTTTCTATTAGGTAACCTTAACTTTCACACCTGACACTCATGAATGGGATGTGGTTAGTTTCATTTATGTTACTTTGTTAAATATATTCTGTGAGGCTACAATATACAACAATTATTTTGTTAAGTATATTATTCAGTTTTAAAATATACAACAGTTAATGTGTTAAATATGATCTGTAAGGCAACAACATACAACAGTTAATGTGCTAAATATGTTCTGTAAGGCAACAACATACAACAGTTAATGTGCTAAATATGTTCTGTAAGGCAACAATATACAACAGTTAGTGTTAAATATGTTCTGTAAGGCTACAATGTACAACAGTTACTGTGTTGAATATGTTCTGTAGAGCTACAGTATACAACAGTTACTGTGTTGAATATGTTCTGTAGAGATACAGTATACAACAGTTACTGTGCTGAATATGTTCCGTGAGGCTACAATATATAACCTGTTACTGTGCTGAATATGTTCCGTGAGGCTACAATATATAACCTGTTACTGTGCTGAATATGTTCCGTGAGGCTACAATATATAACCTGTTACTGTGTTGAATATGTTCCGTGAGGCTACAATATACAACAGTTACTGTGTTGAATATGTTACGTGAGGCTACAATATACAACAGTTACTGTGTTGAATATGTTTCGTGAGGCTACAATATACAACAGTTACTGTGTTGAATGTGTTCCGTGAGGCTACAATATACAACAGTTACTGTGTTGAATGTGTTCCGTGAGGCTACAATATACAACAGTTACTGTGTTGAATGTGTTCCGTGAGGCTACAATATACAACAGTTACTGTGTTGAATATGTTCCGTGAGGCTACAATATACAACAGTTACTGTGTTGAATATGTTCCGTGAGGCTACAATATACAACAGTTACTGTGTTGAATATGTTCCTTGAGGCTACAATATACAACAGCTACTGTGTTTAATATGTTCCGTGAGGCTACAGTGTACAACAGTTACTGTGTTGAATATGTTCTATGAGGCTACAGTATACAACAGTTACTGTGTTGAATATGTTCTATGAGGCTACAGTATGCAACAGTTACTGTGTTGAATATGTTTTGTGAGGCTACAATGTACAACAGTTACTGTGTTGAATATGTTTTGTAAGGCTACAATGTACAACAGTTACTGTGTTGAATATGTTCTGTAGAGCTACAATGTACAACAGTTACTGTGTTGAATATGTTCTGTAGAGCTACAATGTACAACAGTTACTGTGTTGAAT